GGTGGTGGGAGCCTCTCCTGCCTCCGCAGCAGCGCTAAGGACCCCTCGGGGGATGTCTGCCGAGGGGTCCCAGACTGCGAGAGGGAGCAGGCCGGGCTGAGGGACCCCCCCATGTACGAATGCCGTGCACTGGGCCTCTAGTAGAATATAAACCTGGTAAACAGATTGGAGCCAGGGAATTGAGGCCTCAAATGCCAGGCCCAGGGGCTGGGACTCTGTCCTGGGGCGCTGAGAACCCAGGAAGGCGGGGTCCTCGCGGGGTGCAGAGAGACCCCCTGCGGCTGTGTGGAGGCCGGAGGCCAGGGAGGGGGCTGGGGCGGAGGTCCAGGCAGGAGAGGATGAGGCTGGGGCCTCAGCTCTGGGGACAGGAAGGAGGGGCGGCGTCCCTCCTCTATTGGTCCACACCTCTCACCCTGATCGCCCCCATCCTGAACTCCGTGCCTTTCTCCTCCGCTCTGTGTTTCCTGAAGCCAACGGTCCTTCCTCCTGACCCAGAAACAGCCCCTCCCTCCCTCCCTCCCCCCAGCATGTGGTTGGAGGGAGCGCTCCCCGTTCTCTGGGACGAGGTGCAAGGATCTGAGCTGCCAGAAGCTGGGAAGTCCCCTGGGAAGTCTACCCTGAGTCCTTCCTGCTGCAGGGCCAGGAATGGAGCTCAAAACACAGCCTGGGGCCGGGGGGCCGGCCGCCGTGACGGACGCCTTCTCTCCCCTCCCAACACCGCATGCAGGTCATCTACATGGGCCGGAACCCCCGGGACGTGGCCGTGTCGCTCTATCACTACTCCAAGATCGCCGGGCAGCTGAAGGACCCCGGCACCCCAGACCAGTTCCTGCAGAACTTCCTCAAAGGCGAAGGTGAGGACGGGGGAGGGGGCGGGGAGCCCCTTGTGGCCCAGAGGGAAGAGGGACAGAGGGAGAGAGGAGACCAGGAGACCGAGAGAGAACCAAAGGCACCGACAGAAACACCAGGGAGAGGGAGCCAGAGAGAGACTGAGCTACAGGGACAGCGCCAGAGACAGAGGGAGGCAGAGAGAGGGATGCAGACAGAGAGACAGGGAGACAGAGGGACCAGGTGTCAGGGATGGGGGAGGGGGGCATCCAGCTCCGAGGGGCCAGGCCTGGGCCAAGGGGGGCTAGTCAGGCCCCGTGAGCACCAGCGGAGGCCCCGCTGCCTGGCCCTCACCCCTCCGCCCCTCTGCCCGCAGTGCAGTTCGGCTCCTGGTTCGACCACATTAAAGGCTGGATTCGGATGCAGGGCAAAGAGAACTTCCTGTTTATCACCTACGAGGAGCTGCAGGAAGTGACTCC